TGCGCACACTCAGCGCTGGGAGTAGCCGTGTGCACAAATAGCCGGAAGCCTGCTGAGCTGATCACAGTTCTCCAGATACAGCTCCTTTAGCTGCTGAAGGCCATGAAAAACCTCTGCCGGCAGGCTTTGGAGCTGGTTGCTGTCCAAACGCAATTTCTTCAGCTGCTGGAGGCCATGAAAAACCTTTGCCGGCAGGCTTTGGAGCTGGTTGCCGTACAAATCCAGTTCTTGCAGCTGCTCGAGGCCATGAAACACCTCTGCCGGCAGGCTTTGGAGCTGGTTGACGTTCAAATCCAGTGCTTGCAGCTGCTCGAGGCCATGAAACACCTCTGCCGGCAGGCTTTTCAGCTGGTTGCCTGTCAAACGCAATTCTTTCAGCTGCTGGAGGCCATGAAACACCTCTGCCGGCAGGCTTTGGAGCTGGTTGCCGTTCAAATCCAGTTTTTGCAGCTTCTGGAGGCCATGAAACACCTCTGCCGGCAGGCTTTGGAGCTGGTTGCTGTCCAAATGCAATTCTTTCAGCTGTTGGAGGCCATGAAAAACCTCTGCCGGCAGGCTTTTGAGCTGGTTGCCGTACAAAAGCAGTGCTTGCAGCCGCTCGAGGCCATGAAACACCTCTGCCGGCAGGCTTTGGAGCTCGTTGTTGCGCAAATCTAAATTGTTCAGCTGTCCGCAGCCGTGGAACAGCTTGGCAGGAAGCCTTGGGAGGTGGAAGCTGTCCAGCGTCAGTGCACGAAGCTTGCTGTGCCGGGAGAGGCCCTGCAAATCCGTCAGGAATGGTGCCTTGTGCAAAAATTTGCACGTCTCGCAGGAGATGTGCAGCTGACCCAGCCCTGTTGCCAGCTCTGCCAGTGCTGCCACCTGGTGGAGTTGAGCTGCATCGTGAAGGTTGAAGTTCATCTCCGTAAGGTCGGCAAAAGCTGCCTGCTCTGCATGCTAGAACACTCATGAGAACAAATCTTCAATAATCATTCTGAATTGGGTCTAGAAATTGTGGTTCAGTCGCCTTCTAGCCGTGATTCTCGAAGGACAAGTGCAGGAGAAACAGGGGGCAGAGTGTCTGCGGAAAGCTGATATGTCAAAGACTTTTGTAACTGCAATGAGATCGGGATTTCGATGTGAAGTCAGTCTGCTACAGCACCGCTACTACGACAGTGTTTCAGGGCGCACAGAGAAGACCCCATGTTTCGAAAGAGCTGATACACAAAGAAAGTGCACAGTGCCTGGAGCTCGGGTGTGGCGGGCGGTACTTCTGCAAAAGGGTTCCGAATCAGCTCTTGAAGCAGGAGTTTGGGCAGGTTGTTGTCCAAGCCCGCGAGGGTGGACAGCAGCTTTGCCGAAGGCTTCACCCGCCACACCTCCCGGGCAGCGTCTTTGTCGAACTCGTCTCCAGACGAATCAAGGTCCAAAGCTCCTCGGATCTCCTGCAGCAAGGCCAGGCCTCCTTTTTCGAGCCTGTCTGCCTGCTGCAGCAACGTGCCCATCGGAACCTGAAACCTGAAGGCGCGTAGGCGAGCATGACCTTTATTGTAGCGCCACTCGGCTCTGTATCGGCACTTCGAGGCTGATGCGTTCAGGCACGTAAGCAGCTGCACTGCGCCCTCTGAAGACAATGCACCTGCTGGGATATATCTCCCCAGACTCCGAGACAGGGCTTCGTTGCAAAGCTGCTCTCCGCATTCGGACAGCAGCTGGCACAGGGCATCCGCCGAGCCAAAGACGCTTTGCTCGGCCTCTTCGCTGTGGTTAAGAACTGCACAGCCGTGGCTTTGAGCTGCCCAAGCTGCCGGGCTGTCAGCGCCCTGGAACTCCAAGGCCAGATGCTCGGAGGACCACTCCCAGTCCCGAGCGAAGCCCACTTTGCGGGACACAACTGTGAAGCTTGGTGCGGCCTTTAGCTTGCCTGTGAAGGGTTCCATGTCGGCAGCGAGGGGCCTGTCTTGCAGTCGCCCGCGGGTGACCCCGCCTTCTTCACCGCAGATCGCATAGCGTGACCGCAAGAAAGCGCTTTCCGCGCATCGGCTTTGCTCCTTGAAGAGCTTGCGGTCGGTCTCATCTGCGGGGCTGCACTGGAACCAGTTTGCCCGAAACGCCTCGGCTCTCGGGACTTCCTCACGTCTCTCGCTCTGGACGAACACCCTGCGTGTAGCTGTGCGCTCGAGGATCTCTCTGCAAATCTTACCGTAGTGGAGCCTGGATCTTCAGCGCACACAGACCATGGGCTAGCGGCTCTTTTTGGCTCTCTTGCGCAACCCTTTCCCTTGAGACGTGTCAGCGGCGATCACATGTGAACGTGGCACTGTCGAAAGAATGCTGATTCAGCACTCTTCTTTATTTTTATGTCCCCGTTCACTAGTACTCAACGGCTTTGCATCCACAAACGAAACGGTCGCGAAGTGCTCGAGACCTCTTGTTTTTTCTATCAGCGACTTGAACCTCAGTTGGCACCCGGCGTAACGCCTTGCACTGCTGCCTCAACGAGGCGATGCTTATCTCCACACGTTTCTCCTGGAAGTTAGTGCAAAGCCGGTGAATGGCGTCCCACAAGCTCCTTGCGTCTGTAACCGGGACGACCTCCACCAGTGGTACTTCGCGAAGGGTGGAGCTGAACTGAGCATCAGACGTCTCGGAGAGCATGGTGGCGAGGAAGTTGGCGTAGTCCTCAGCCCTGTCCAGAAGCTTTTCCACTCCATCAGCGATGCCCGCTGAGGCTTGTTCAAGGCATCCCGGTGGGTGGCTGTTATAACCAGACAGCCTTGGGACTTCCCTCCAGGGCGTTTTCCCATCCGGGTCGCCGTACGCAATCAGGACGAGGTCCTTGAAGTCGATGGGGACCATCTTGTAGAGGGCCGAGTTCGTAGCCCTCACGTAACGGAGAACGCTGTTCACCTCCTGAAGGTCCTCGACCTTGAGCTCCGAGGGGGTCTTCTGTAGTAATGTGCAACTTGTACAGAGTCAGCAGTGCCAGGGTTCAGATGCTTCCTCCCACATGTGACATTTCGGCTCTAGGAAGGGGCCCCTTCTTGCACACAGCCTTACGGGGCGGACGAGCAGAGCGCTCGTGCATGGAAAAGAGCGCGCGGAACGCTTGTGAGAGCCCTTTCTGATTACGCTACCGCTGCTTGCAATAATCCGCTGCATTGGTAGCGGAGCAACACGATCCGGCGGCCGAAGAACTTCGCCACCGCTGTTGAGGAGTGTTGCTCCAAGAAACAAGGCTGCAGCCCTACGGACAAGATCTCTTTCTCAACTGGCTGCACCCTGCCCGCCAGGATGTCCATACTGGCGGTTTTCTCCTTTTTCTGGTTTGCAAGTTACAAGTTTTTCAGCGATGTCAGATGTTCGAGATCATCAGTCGCCCATGCCGTCTTGGGATGGCTCTTCAAGGACGCGGCGGCGCTACACACGTGAAGTAGCATGGTATGTGCAAGGAACAGCAACGCACAAGAGACGGTATGTGGCTTCGAAGCTGCTTGTCAGATTGACTGGCCCCGCTAGATTGCTGGCGATGAGCTGGTCACGAATGGTTGTGGACAGCCCTCAAGGCGCGAAGCTATTGCTGCAGAAACTGGCAATGAGCCCTCTGGTGAGACGCAACTTGCCGAATGCTGCTGCAATTTGCTCTCAGTACTTCTCTTTTCGACGAAGCCCTCAGGAGTCCATCGGCAACTTTCTTGTACGAGAGACGCTCATCCATGAGGAGTTCGTGGAGGCCTTGATAAGGTTGTGGGAAGACAAACAAGGTGTTGCTCAGGAACAGCGAGAGTTTGGTCTTCCGGAGGATGATGATGGTTGGGTTGACGATGATTGGGGTAAGGGTTCCTGGGGTTGGTGGTCGTATGAGGATGAAGATGCTGATGGTGGTGAGGGTGATGCTGGATCACCATCAGCCGCAGCGGCTGCTGGCGAGGCTACATCGGCCGAGGCACCTACCTCCTCGACACCACCGACGGTGACCACGCGTGAAGCACCCCGAGCTACCACAAGGTCATCCCCAAGCCATCGAGGGGATCCGGAACCAATCCCTGCAGAGACCTCGTCTACAGCAGCAGCACCCAAAGAACCTTCCACAATGCTCGACGAACTGACCTGAGCCGACAGCTTCATCTTGAGCGTCCTTCGAGGCTGGAGGCTGTTGCAAGCTGCAGGATTGTCACCGGATGAGATGAGAGACATTTTGCCGAGTACCAAGAACAGCATGGACTACGAACTGATTGCAGCGGCCCTACAGAATCTGTGGGACGACCAGTTGTTAGGCAACCGCCCGAAGCTCAAGCCCTTCTACGCACCACGCGCACTGTGTGGACGAAGTGGACGACCAAGAGCTCTACTACCAGGAAGGTGGCGCGACGTGGTAGGACGACGCCTCCTGGTGGGACGACGGCTACGCCTACTACACGGACCACGGCTATGAAGACGAATGGTGGCAAGATGATTGGGGATCTTCGGACATTCCTCCGCAAGTGAATGCTGCAACGGCCGAGCCTGTGGACGAGGACAAGATGAGGGAGGCCCAACAGGCCGAGCAGATGGCAGAGTCTCTGGCCATAGAGGCTCAGAGGACATGGAGCGAGGCCCAACGGGCCAGCCAGGCTCTACGACGAGATCGTGGATTGGGGCACCTGGGCCCGGGCCCTCGAAACACCGGCTCTCCCTCCAAGGGAAAATCCAAGGGCAAGGCCAAGTACGGCTATGCCAGCGACATGGACGTCTACTACATCAAGGGCAAGACGAAATCCAAGGGAAAGTTCAAGGGAAAAAAGGGGATGTACATGAATGCAGGGGATGTACATGAATGCAGATGCTGCCTGGAAAGGCAAGGGCAAAGGACCAGAGTGGGCGCCGAGGACCGTGAACGCCTTTGCAACCGACTACTTCACGGGCGGCTTGGAGCTGTCTAGTACTGTGGAGGTGCCGAAGCCTCCCCAGACTCGAGCCCTTCCAGAGCTCGGGATGATCGACTTCCGCGCCACGGCTTCTGCTGCACCTGAGGCGGTAGTGAAAGGATTGATCTCGGCAATCCTTGAGAAGGACAGCGGAGCTCGTGTGGACATCGACACAAATGCCCGACCTTACTTTCGTGTTGGTGATGGTCGCTGGGGTCGCGCTCCTTATCGGGTTCATATCAGCAGTGCTATTTCAGGTTCTACCAAACGATTCGCCCTCTATGTTCTCCCGAACCCCAAGGAGTACTTTCAAGCAGGGTTTGACAAGACATCCTTAGTCCCCATACTCGTTGGCATGATTTTCTTGCAACAGATGGCAATGGACTCATCATTGATTTCACGACTGGCTTAGCTACAAGCTCGCTTGATGAGAAACCCGAAATACTCCAGCTCAAACAAAATCACAAGGAGCACTTCATGTTGGATATTCGGGAGTATCTTACGAGGGGACATGTGAATCTGGAAGGTCATGCACACCTGGTTGTGGGACCGTCTTCGGCAAGCGCACCTCAGCCAGAAGCCCATGTTCTTGAATTCCATGTTGCGCAGTTTGATCTGACAGTCAGTGACATTGTCCATGAAAGTGCCCTGCTTCAGCGATCGCGAGAGAGACTTGTTGAGATGCACCAGCGCTCGCGTGAGCTTCAAGGTCTATGTGTGTCAGCCTGTGTCAGCAACTTCTTGCTCAACGCTCGCGACACCTCTGTATCCTCTACTTGCTCATCTCGACATGTCGTCCGCGACGCAGATCGACCCGGAGACCGCGGAAATCCTCGCTGCTGCGGCGAAAGCCAAGGCAGCTCCCAAGAAGCAAAGGGCTCGCTCGTTAGACATAAACCGTTCCATGAAGATGGACCCTTGGGACCCGAGGAGCAGCCCGAAGTGCTGGCCATGCTACGGCCGACATCTTGCCGACAAGCCCCAGGCCAACCAGTGGGGTCAATGGGTACACTGCCAGGTGTGCAACCTGAGAATCCTTTATACTCCCCGCAAGGGAGCCCTGGCGAACAACACCCTAACCTACAACGCCGCCATGGTCAAGAAAATGCTATCCCAGTTGAAGCCGCTTCTGGGAGACCGGAAGCCCACGGCCAAGGTATGCCTCCACATGTTTGCGAAGATCACGGCCGAGGAAGTCCTGGTCAGGAGATTATCGGCGCCGCACCACCCGTGGCGACCTCGAAGCAGAGCAGCAGCCACGGCTACCCCAGCGGCACGATCACGGACTACGAGGAGGAGCTGGTGATCGACTACTCCAACGAGGTCGAAATGGTGCCGTAAGTGATAAGGCAAGGCCGATGACACAACATGTGGCGCAAAAGGTGACGGCAATGGCGTCCCTTATGGTGGCGGCTACGGCGTCTACGCTGGTTGGGTTGCAACTGGATCACGGAAGCTGCGCGGCACGATGGACTACAACCACGAGCTATCAACCTACAGAGCGACTACGACCTACAGAAGGAAGATGCATGGAACCAACCTCGACAGTTACGGCATCAACGACGGCCTCGGAAACTGTGGTTGTCCTTGGTCAACAATTGACAAAGAACTCCGTCAACAACGGAACCAGGACACCCAACGGCGGAAGGATCGAAAGGTACTGGGCTACGCCGTGGACTTTGTGAAGTACGTGCTCTCCATGGATGATGAGACGCAAGTCTATTGGGAGATGCCTACCAACAACCACGGCTGGAAACAAGCTCCACTTCTACATCTTCGAGAATGGCTTGAACTCAAGCTGGTGCCATGGCTTGGATGTCGCTTGGATGGGTGCGTCTACGGATTGCGGGAGGAATCACAAGGTGACCTGGTTCTCAAAAAGTGGACGATACAAACTACCGATGAGAGATTCCACAAAGTATATCGAGCCAAGGTGTGCGTTGGCAACCACCATCACAGTGCCACATGTGGCGTTGACTACCAGCGAGGCTCCTCCTATCCAGGGAGGATGGTGGAATCCATTGTTCGCACATGGCGAGATGAACTAGCACCTCCACGACATCATCGACTTCTTTCTCTACAACAAGATCAACCTGCTCTATGTGATGAGTGGCCAGAGGCCGAGCCAGTGGAGGTGGTGGATGATATGGTGACTCGTACAGATGATAACCTGGTCGACCATGACTCCCTTCTCATCGAGTCCTTCCGCATACAACATGAACATCAAGCCCGAGAAGCACGAGTCTATGAAAGCTTCGACTGGGAGACATGCTCCTCGCTTCTTCAACAACTATACGACTATGGTCAAGCTCAGGCAGAACTCATAGCAGGGGAACTACATCTGGAGTCAACAGCTTTGGGCTGGGCGCCTACTCCCACGGCGCCTTCAATGGTATTTCCCGCCTGACGTTCAAGAACCAGGAGCTCACCAAGTACCTGAACTCCTTCCTTCGACATCACCTACCTGAGCAATCATGGTCCAGCATCATGGTGACCTTCAACACAGCAGCTCTACCACATCAGGATCACCACAATCTCAAGGGCACTGTCAATATTCTGACGTGTATGGGCAACTTTGATCAAGGAGGTCTATGGCTACAAGGTCAGCCACCCCGTGGCTACGCGGCGGTAAAGCGACTGGTTCAAGGCTTGGGCTATGTCAATGGCTATGTGGAACCCACCAAGAACAAGTTCGTGATCTTCAATCCTCGACAACGTCATGCCTCTCAAAGGTGGTCTGGATTTCGCATCAGCCTGGCAGTCTACACGACGAGACTGGCACCCTGGATGGATGATCAGAAGAAAAAGACGATGAAGGAACTTGGGTTCCCCAAGCGTGCACTTGATCCACTACTACCACTCTCCTCGGAGCTGGCCTCAGCACAACAAACAGCTGAGGAGCCGAGTCAATCAGAATCTCATCTACCTGTACAAGGCCTGGCAAGCAGTGACTGTTGATGCAGCAGAGTGGCCAGTACCTGGCACCCGTCAAAAGGTCAAGTTCCTTCTCTTCATGGACTACGCCACGAAGCTCAGAGCAGTGGTCCCGTTGAAGACCGTGGAAGTGATGGCGATGCAGGCAGAAAATGCTGAGGATGTGATACAGGCCTTCTCCGAACGATGGCTCAGTGTTTTTCCAAAACCACAAGTGGTGATCATGGGTGCGGCCAAGACGTTCACCTCGGCAAGGACGCACGAGTTCCTGTCCTCCATCAACATTCTTCCCCATCTCATTGCCGAGAAGGAACATTGGAGTCATGGTGTAGCAGAGGCAGCAGTGCAAGATGTGAAGGCTACAGCTACCTCTATACATCTTGAGGCACGAGAACAACGACCCTTCGTAACGCTACATCTCACAGCCGCAGCACTCGACTCCACCGAGTACACGGCAGGTTTCTCGGCGTTCCAATGGGCGTACGGACGGACTACAGGACATTCGCCAATGAAGCCGATCACCAACATCGGGACTTTTCACAACTGGTGGTGGTGCGACAACAAGTGGAGGAGATTGCCAGGAAGACGAAGGCTCAGCGAGTTCTATCCAAGCTGGCAAATACTACGGTGAGACAGCCACTACGCGAGTTCAAAGAGATGGACTTGGTGAAGATCTGGCGACGAGTGTGGCCTCAAGAAGTTCACAAGGGGCCACGTGGTGGAATGAAGATGGCTGGACGCCCTCATTGGATTGGTCCAGGTCGTGTGGTTTTTCATGAAGTACTTCCTCAACAACAACCTGGTGATCAACGGCGACATATAGTTTGGGTCCTTCTGGGAGCTCGACTCTACAGATGCTCCGTTCACTCTGTACTTCCGACGACAGAGACAGAACGCTTCATCTACGAGACATCATCTGTTGAGGACCTTAGCAGATGGAAGACTCTGGCAGACATACCACCTCGTCGTGAATATCAGGACGTTGTTGATGAGGAACCGCATGAAGAAGAACGTGAATTACCTGATTTACCACAACAGCCGGATGACACCACAGTTCAAGTTCCCCAGCGGCGAATTCGTCAGAAAACTTCCTTCCGCGCCGGCGACTACACCGACCGACCTGTACGTGATCGACTTCAAACAGAGGAGGTGAATGACTACGGACCGGACCCACAGGTTTGGTCCCGTGTCCGTGTGCGG